TTCAAGATCCCTTCGTTCCCCATAACAACAACACTCTTAACCCCAACACTGGTCTTGAACCCAAAGCTCCCCTCCATCCTAATCGTCGACCCATCCCAACTAAACGAAATCTCACTAACCCCATCCTGCACAAGACTCTCCCCATCATCCAAATACAATGTTCCCCACGCCTTCCCATCCTTGTCTGGCGCAACGAGCAACTCGAAGTCCTGGTCGCGTAGTGCGTGCGTCGTCATTGCGCTCTTGACGCGGAGGGGAATGATGGAGCCGCCGCGGATGAGAATCGGAATATCGGTGTCTGCGACGTCGTTCCTGAGCACCATGCTACCAGCTGCGCCTGCGGGGAGCGGCTTTTGCAATTCAAAGTCATACCAGGTGGCATTTGGCACGTAGAACTCGACGGATGTGGAACGCTCTTCTGTGACGGGATTGATGAGGAGGGAAGGGCCGTAGAAGAATTGAAGTTGGATTGCGGCGGCTTTGGGGTCGGTGGGGAAGTGCATCCTGGTGTTTGAGTCAGATGGAGTGCCTTGTTTGAAGAGGGCTTGAACGGGGAGTACTTGCCACATGGGTGCGAGCATGGGGGTCCCGTCGACAGTTTGTTTGTGCATGGCTGTGTAGATGTAGTCAAGGAGGCGGTAGCGGATATCGATGGCCTTCCGAGCTGCTGCAGCGACAGACTCCCAGCGGTATGCTTCCTGTGAGATTGCACCGTTAACATTATGATTTCGGTAGAAAGGGTAGAAAGCGCCCAGGACGGTCCAGCGTGCGCAAAGGTGTTCGTTGGTGTTGTCCAAGAAGCCACAAACATCTGCACCGACCTACGAAGACTTAGCCATGATATCAGTCGGGCAAATTCTGAAGTGCTTACCATGGGTACTTGGAAAAATGACACAAACTGAAGAAGATGGCGAATTGATGTCAGATATTGATCCCACGCGGATACATTGTCACCCAACCAGTGACCAACATAGCTTCCTGCACCAACAAAAGTGCTACGCGTAATCACCATAGGGCGCTTATTAGGTCGTCGCGCAAGCATACTACGCCGGCTTGCTTCACTCATCATTGTGCCGTATCTGACCTCATTAGTATGGACTAGCTATATCAGCCAAGGTCAACTCACAGGTTGTGTGTATCATACTCGGCATATCCGCCTTGATGGATCAAATCTGTATTCGCAGTTTTGTTACTCAGAGACCCAAAGTCGTTTTTAATCTTATATGCAGGGTTGATTAAATCACGTCCGGGAAGCCCAATCTTCTTTCCGCGTGCCTGACGCGCTGCCAGCTTGCGCACATCAACCTTCGTAGCCGTAGTAATGAGCGGAGCTTGATGTTCGGCCATGCGCCCTGGAGCAGCTTTGAATCCATCCTCTTCCTCAGTGATGTTTACGATACCATCTGCGATGCCGTTGCCTGATAAATTGGGGTCATTTCCGTATTCATTAAAGTTTGATGGTTCGTTCATGTCGATCCAGAGTGCGTCAATGTCTACGCCAGTGTCGGCGTCGAAGAAAGTGGCAAATTCATAGTCCCAATAGTCTTGCACGTTTGAATGGAACCAGTCTGGGAACGCAGTTACACCTGGCCAAACCCTGCCTTCGAAGATGCTACCATCCGGATTCTTGAGGAAAATGTCGCCTTTGACTCCGTTATTGTAAGCTGCATAGTCTTGTTTCGCGACAGCTATGACTGATCAGACACTGGAACATCAGACTCTGTAGACTAATCTCACCTGGGTCCACCATTACGATGTAGTGTTGACTTTTGCTGTGCAAATTATTTACTAAAGCTCGCATCTTCTTGAGGGGAAAGTTCTCGCCCAGAGTGAAGACTTTGAAGTTATCCATATAGTCAATATCTGCACTTGTCAACAATCGCACGACTTAACCTCAGGAAATCGCAACATACCAGTCCACATAGTTTCCAAGGGAATGTTGGCTTTGCTGTAATTAGCCACCACGTCGGCAAGGGCTTCCACGCTGTCGTATCCAAAGCGACATTGGTGGAAGCCAAAGCCCCAATATGGCATCATGGCAGCCTTCTGTGAGATCTCGCTGTACTGGCGAGCAACATCAAAAGGGCCTGGACCAGCCATGAAATAGAGATCGATAACGCCGCCGATAACATTGTACTCCAAATACTGGCCATCGTCGTCATTGATCTTGATATCCATACCATTGCTGTTTAATAGGAGTACACCGTGTGAAAGCCCCTTATCCCTCAGCTCATAGTACACCGGGTGGCTTCCGTACAAGTTTGTCCTTTCGGGTACGGCACCAGCATCGCGCGCCCACATCGTTCTGACATAGTCTGTCGTTGGCAATCGCAACGAGTCAGTGTGTTCGCCCAAGCCGTACAAGTTTGGGTTCTTGGGTAGCGAAGTCCTTAGTCTCCAGTATTGTGACTCAAAGATGAGAGTAGAGCCACTGGTATTAAACAAAGTCTCTTCATTGCTCTTGCGTATGACAGCAAATGAAAACGGCTCTTCTACAATTGAGACATCCAGCAAGGCATCAGTTCCACTACTAGATCCCAATGGGCGCGGAACCACGAAGTCGGGAACCTGATACACCTGCTCATCTTGGTCGTAGATGATGACATGCAGGCGAGAGTCTGACGAAGGTGAGTGACACGTTGGACTCAGGTTACGCAACATATGTGTATGGTACACGGTGCAATGCTTTCAACGATTTCCGGATGCGTAGCACAGCACACCTACACCAACAGCACACGAGACCACAACGTTGAACTAAGCTCACCTGTCTGCCATTCTGCCAAAAACTTCAAGTGTTGCAGGTCTTGACCATACAAATTACATTCCTTCCCAGCCAGAGTCAAGTCCGCCCTCAAGCTACTATCCCCACGCTGGACATTGCTGACCCGGTACCCTGGGCAACTGTCAGCCCGTTTCAGCGGTTCTGGCCACGCCCATCGCCCAAAGTTTGCGAGTAAGAGGACGCCGGCTTGCAGGAATGTAATGGCTGCCGGCATAATGTGAGTGATGGGTACTCTGGGCAAGGTGCCATTATTGCCGAAGAACACCACCCGACCTATGTAGTCAACTAAACAGGATCCTTAGCCTTTCCCTGCGTCTATTGACGAACATGGCGATGGTCTGCTTGCTCGGTGGATTTTCATGTTCCACGGTGTAAAGGGGGTATTCGGACAGACGCACTGGAGCGAAGATCTTACAGGTCGTCACGAGGGCATCCATGATCAAGTGCGGAGCGGCGGCAGAGAACGTCGAGAAATGGACAAGTCTGTTGACGTTGACTACCGGTAATCAGGAAGTTGGTGAAGATGTCGATGGATGGGTTGGATCAGGATTGGATCAGGAAGCACTGTGCTGCGACCTCCCGTCCTTATGGGGCATGCAGCGCGCCCCATGAGGTAATCATGGGGTTCCAATTGATATGCGGGGTACGGTACCGGTACGGTACGGTAACTTACGGTAGCTGTTGATCTTAGCACGACGCGACCACGACCATAGGGTTTCAATGTACCTAGGCATGACAGCCTGGGCGATGACAGACGGTTCTCTCTAACCTTGAACAATACAATCCTTTTACTGCATACTGGATCTTTCATTTTCATTTGTAAGCTCTTGACCAAGCGTTTTCTTCTCTGTTGAATGGATTTATAACCAATTGGTCGCATATTCTATGCAAGATGATAAGAGTTTATCCTCTGCCCCTGGAGTCACGAATTCACCGACACAAGCCCTTCGCCCCCATACAATCATGGCAACCGATGCACGAGCACACAAAGCACCGATATTCCATAATCGTTGTGTAGAACTCCATCGATGATCCACGCACCTGGCTCTCTACTTACGGGTCTCCACCACCAATGAACCAGACGTCTGATCTCTAGCTATCATTCGTGTATAGCAGCTTTCAAGTCCTACAAAAGGGAGAGCCACCCAGCAGGCCAACCACGGATCGTGATGACGGTCCGTAAACGAAGTAACAGCAATCCCCATAATTGTACTCGCCCAGTCATCTACGCATCTGAAGGTCGTGCAAGAACGTAAAAGCCATGCGATGTTATGCTGCATTGTTCCTTCATAGCTGCGTTTCCTGCGAATGGTTCCCAAGGGACAGCGAGGATCGTGCCGCATTCCTGTCTTATAACCAACATGATGCCAGGAGTCGCATCTATATATTCGTATGCTCGCTATGCAGTATCCATGAGTAGTGAGGGGCTTAGTAAGAATTGACTGCACTAGAATGCAGAGGCGGTAAGGAACGAAGAGAGTTATGCTGTTTTCTTTTAGAACCGCAGCGCTCTTAGGTGATGAGATGACCTTGGTTCTGTGGTCAGGGCCAGACTTACGGGTGTTCATGGGGGCG